TCGAGGCGTCGGTCACAACAGCTGCTGATGCTGCTCATCCCACTGTTGCTGCAGCTGCTGCGGTTGGAGTTGATGCGGTTGCAGCAGCTGTTGGTGCTCCTTCTGGGTCCCACTGCTGGTGCAGCTGCTGTGCACCAGTCTTCCCTCCGATGGTCTGGCGTCGTCGAGGTGCCAGACCATCGAGGTGTCGGTCACAACAGCTGTTGATGCTGCTCATCCCACTGTTGCTGCAGGTGCGGTTGCAGAAGCTGTTGGTGCTCATCCCACTGTTGCTGATGCTGCTCATCCTGTCGAGGCGTCGGTCACAGCAGTTGCTGATGCTGCTCATCCCACTGTTGCTGCAGGTGCTGCGATTAGAGTTGATGCGGTTGTCACAGCTGCTGGTGCTCCTTGTGGGTCCCACTGCTGGTGCAGCTGGTGTGCCCCAGTCTTCCCTCCGATGGTCCGGCGTCGCCGAGGTGCCAGACCATCGGATGGTACGGCATCGTCGACGCACCGGACCATCGAGGCGTTGGTCACAGCAGCTGTTGATGCTACTTATCCCACTGTTGCTGCGGTTGCAGCAGCTGCTGGTGCTCATCCCACTGTTGCTGATGCTGCTCATCCCATCGAGTTGTCAGTCAAAGCAGCTGCTGATGCTGCTCATCCCACTGTTGCTGCAGCTGCTGCGGTTGGAGTTGATGCGGTTGGAGTTGATGCGGTTGGAGCATCTGCTGCTGCTCTTGTTGGGTCCCACTGCTGGTGTAGCTGTTGTGCCCCAGTCTTCCCTTCGATGGTCCGGCGACGTCAGGGCGCCAGACCTTCGAGTGGTCCGGCGTCGTCGAGGCGCCGGACCATCGACGCGTTCGGCACAGCAGATGCAGACGCGGCTGTTCCCATTGCGGTTGCCGCAACTGCTGTCGGTGGTGTTCCCGCTATTGTCACTTCTAAGCAAGGGTTCGAGGACATGGCACAGCTGCTATGCCCCTGTCTTCCCACCAAGGGTCCGGCGTCGTCAAGGCGCCAGACCATCGGATGGTCCGGCGTCGTCGACAAGCCGGATCATCGAGGCATCGGTCACAACACTTGCTGATGCTGCGCATCCCACTGTTGCTACAGCTGCTGCGGTCGGAGTCGCCGTGGTTGCAGCATCTGCTGGTGTTCATGCCACTGTTGCTGATGCTTCTCATCCCATCGAGGGGTCGGTCACAGCAGCTGCTGATGCTGCTCATCCCACGGTTACAGCAGCTGCTGGTGTTCCTACTAGGTCCCACTGTTGGTGCAGCTGCTGTGCCCCAGTCTTCCCTCCGATGGTCCAGCGTCATGAAGGCGCCAGACCTTCGGATGGTCCAGTGTCGTCGAGGCGCCGGACCATAGACGCGTCCGACACAGCAGATGCAGAGGCGGCTGTTCCCACTGCAGTTGCCAGAGCTGCTGTCGGTGCTGTTCCCGTTGTTTCTGTCACATCTTAGTAAGGGTTCGAGTACATGGCACAACTTTTGTGCCCCTGTCTTCCCTCTGAGGGTCCAACATCGTCAACGCGCCAGACCATCGGATGGTCCGGCGTCGTCGACGCGCCGGACCATCGAGACGTCGGTCACAATAGTTGTTGATGCTGCTCATCCCACTGTTGCTGCAACTGCTGCGGTCAGAGTTCCTGCGGTTGCAGCAGCTGCTGGTGCTCATCCCACTGTTGCTGATGCTGCTCATCCTATCGAGGCGTCGGTCACCGCAGCTGCTGATTCTGCTCATCCCACTGTCGCTGCAGCTGCTGCGGTTGGAGTTGATGCGGTTGCAGCAGCCGCTGGTGTTCCTGCTGGGTCTCACTCCTAGTGCAGCTACTGTGCCCCAGTCTTCCCTCCGATGGTCCGGCGTCCTCAAGGCGCCAGACCTTCGGGTGGTCCGGCGTTGTCGAGGCGCGGGACCATCGACGCGTCCGACACAGCAGATGCAGACGCGGTTGTTCCCATTGTGGTTGCCGCAGCTGCTCTCGGTGTTGTTCCTGCTGTTGCTGTCACATTTGAGCAAGGGTTCGAGTACATGGCAGAGCTGCTGTGCCCCTGTCTTCCCTCCGAGGGTCCGGCGTAGTCAAGCCGCCCGACCATCGGATGGTCCAGCGTCGTCGAGGCGCCGGACCATGGCGGCGTCGGTCACAGCAGACGGTGATGCTGCCCATCCCACTGTTGCTGCAGCTGCTGCGGTCGGAGTTGCTGCGGTTGCAGCAGCTGCTGGTGCTCATCCCATTATTGTTGATTCTGCTCATCCCATCGAGGCGTCGGTCACAGCAGTTGCTGATGCTGCTCATCCAACTGTTGCTACAGCTGTTGCGGTTGGAGTTGATGCGGTTGCAGCAGCTGCTGGTGCTCCTTCTGGGTCCCACTGCTCGTGCAGCTGTTGTGCCCCAGTCTTTCCTCCGATGGTCCGGCGACGTCAAGGCGCCAGACCTTCGAGTGGTCCGGCGTCGTCGAGGCGCCTGAGCATCGACGCGTCCGGCACAGCAAATGCAGACGCGGTTGTTCCCATTGCGGTTGCTGCAGCTGCTGTCGGTGCGGTTCCCGTTGTTGTTGTCACATCTGAGCAAGGGTTGGAGTACATGGCACAGCTGTTGTCCCCCTGTCTTCCCTTCGAGGGTCCAGTGTCGTCAAGGCGCCAGACCATCGGATGGTCCGGCGTCGTCGGCGCGTTGGACCATCGAGGCGTCGGTCACATCAGCTGCTGATGCTGCTCATCCCACTGTTGCTGCAGCTGTTGCGGTCGGAGTTGCTGCGGTTGCAGCAGCTGTTGGTGCTCATCCCACTGTTGCTGATGTTGCTCATCCCATCGAGGCGTCGGTCACAATAGTTGTTGATGCTGCTTATCCCACGGTTGCAGCAGCTGATGGTGCTCCTGTTGGGTCCCACTGTTGGTGCAGCTGCTGTGCCTAAGTCTTTACTCCGATGGTTCGGCGTCGTCAAGGCGCCAGACCTTCGGATGGTCCGGCGTCATTGAGGCGCCGGACCATCGACGCGTCCGGCACAGCAGATGCAGACGAGGCTGTTCCAACTGCGGTTGCCGCAACTGCTGTCGGTGTTGTTCCCGTTGTTGTTGTCACATCCGAGTAAGGGTTCGAGTACATGGCACAACTGTTGTGCCCCTGTCTTCCCTCCAAGGGTTCGGTGTCGTCAAGGCGCCAGATCATCGGATGGTCCGGTGTCGTCGACGCGCCGGACCATCGAGGTGTCGGTCACAGCAGCTGCTCATACTGCTCATCCCACTGTTGCTGCAGTTGCTGTCCTTGGAGTTGCTGCGGTTGCAGCAGCTGCTGGTGCTTATCCCACTATTGTTGATGCTGCTCATCCCATCGAGGCGTCAGTCACAGTAGCTGGTGATGCTGCTCATCCCACTGTTCCTGCAGTTGCTGCGGTTGGAGTTGATGCGGTTGCAGCAACTACTGGTGCTCATCCCACTGTTGTTGATGCTGCTCATCCCATCGAGGTGTCGGTCACAGCAGCTGCTGATGCTCCTCATCCCACTGTTGCTGCAGTTGCTGCGGTTGGAGTTGATACCGTTGCAGCAGCTGCTGGTGCTCATCCCACTGTTGATGATGCTGCTCATCCCATCGAGGCATCGGTCACAGCAGCTGCTGATGCTGCTCATCCCACTGTTAATGCAGATGCTGCGGTTGGAGTTGATGTGGTTGCAGCATCTGCTGGTGCTCCCTCTGGGTCCCACTGCTGGTGCAGCTGATGTGCCCCAGTCTTCCCTCCGATGGTCCAGCGTCGTCAAGGCGCCAGACCTTCGGATGGTCCGGCGTTGTCGAGTCGCCGGACCATCCACGCGTCCGGCACAGCAGATGCAGACGCGGCTGTTCCCACTGCGGTTGTCGCAGCTGCTGTCGGTGCTGTTCCCGCTGTTGCTGTCACATCTGAGTAAGGGTTCGAGTACATGGCACAGCTGCTATGCCCCTGTCTTCCCTCCGAGGGTCCGGCGTCGCCGACGCACCGGACCATCGAGGAGTCGGTCACAGCAGTTGTTGATGCTGCTCATCCCACTGTTGCTGCAGCTGCTGCGGTCGGAGTTGCTGCAGTTGCAGCAGCTGCTGGTGCTCATCCCACTGTTGCTGATGCTGCTCATCCTATCAAGGCGTCGGTCACAGCAGCTGCTGATGCTGCTCATTCCACTGTTGTTGCAGCTGTTGTGGTTGGAGTTTATGCGGTTGCAGCAGCTGCTGGTGTTCCTGCTAGGTCCCACTGCTGGTGCAGCTGTTGTGCTTCACTCTTCCCTCCGATGGTCCGGCGTCGTCAAGGCGCCAGACCTTCGGGTGGTCCGGCGTCGTCGAGGCGCCGGACCATCGACGCGTCCGGCACAGCAGATGCAGACGCGGCTGTTCCCACTGCGGTTGCCGCAGCTGCTGTCGGTGTTGTTCCCGCTGTTGCAGTCACATCTGAGCAAGGGTTCGAGTACATGGCACAACTGCCCCTGTCTTCTCTCCGAGGGTCCGGCGTCGTCAAGGCGCCTGACCATCGGATGGTCCGGGGTCGTCGACGAGCCGGACCATCGAGGCATCGGTCACAGCAGCTGCTGATGCTGCTCATCCTACTATTGCTGCAGCTGCTGCGGTCGGAGTTGCTGAGGTTGCAGCAACTGTTGGTGCTCATCCCACTGTTGTTGATGCTGCTCATCCCATCGAGGCGTCCGTCACAGCGGTTGTTGATGCTGCTCATCCCACTGTTGTTGCGGTTGGAGTTGATGCAGTTGCAGCAGCTGCTGTTGCTCATCCCATTGTTGCTGATGCTGCTCATCCCATCGAGGAGTCGGTCACAACAGCTGTTGATGCTACTCATCCCACTGTTGTTGGAGCTGTTGCGGTTGGAGTTGATGCGGTTGCAGCAGCTGCTGGTGCTCTTATTGGGTCGCACTGCTGGTGCAGCTCCTGTGCCCCAATCTTCCCTCCGATGGTCTGGCGTCGTCAAGGCGCCAGACCTTCGGATGGTCCGGCGTCATCGAGGCGCCGGACCATCGACACATGCCATAGAGCAGATGTAGACGCGGTTGTTCCCACTATGGTTGCCGCAGCTGCTGTGGGTGCTGTTCCGTCTGTTGTTGTCACATCTGAGTAAGGGTTCGAGTACATGGCACAACTGCTATGCTCATGTCTTCCCTCCAATGGTCCGGCGTCTTCAAGGCGCAAGACCATCGTATGGTCCGGCGTTATCCAGGCGCCAGACCATCGAGGCGTCGGTCACAGCAGCTGCTGGTGCTACTCATCCCACTGTTGTTGTGCCGTCTAAGTGAGGGTTGGAGTAGATGCTGCGGTTGGATTTGCTGCGGTTGCAGCAGCTTCTGGTACTCCTACTGGGTCCCTCTACTGGTGCAGCTGTTGTGCCCCTACCTTTGCTCCGATGGTCCAGCGTCGTCAAGGCGTCAGACCATCGGATGTTCCCGCACTGCTGACTGTCGTCGGCTTGTTGTTGTCACCGGCTCTGGACGCCTTCCACCGCCGGGCCGCCTTCTTCTTAACCTCTGTTTGTTCCGTGCGTTACGTCGGTGTCGGATGCGGTGTTATGCAGTTGCTTGCTCCTTGAGGCTCTCTACGCCGAAGTTTGTCGGAAGGGCGGTCACGTTCCAAGAGAAGTATTGGGCAATGGATTAGCACCTCGGTATGAAAGTCCCCTGTTGCGGGCCAGTTATTTTTTTGCGGGATGAGAGTGGCGGTTACGACCCATGCGGGGGTATCAAGACTTACTCGTTTGATAAGAACATGCCTGACGAGGAGTACATGAGATTCCATCTCATGACGTGTTTCGACATCGACGGTCACGAGGTGCCTGACAATTACAAGCTCATGTCTCTCCACGTCGAGAAGTTCCAAGGTTACAGCATCCGCGCTGCATCAATGCTCCGTTCGACAAGTCGAAGAAGAAGGATGCGTCACAAATGGTGATGCTCAGGCCGTTCGAGTTCCTCAAACGCGTTAATTGCTATAAGGTATCGAACCATATCATGACGATTGACAACAACCTGCAGTTGTCAACTCCCTTCGTGCCCTTCGACTGTGATCTTGGAGACTTCGCAGACATGGTGCGACGTCACAAGCTGCAGGAGATGGGCCAAGCTGTTTTGCGAACTACCGTCTCTGTGAACTGGCCAAAGGCGGTGGGCAAGAGTTGTGGGGAGCCGAAAACATCCGCCCGTATGAGCAAAAGTGGGGCCGCATCAACACAGGCAAAGAGCGTGAGCAAATCAGCTTCTCTGCTCCAGCCGAAGGGTGTGTCTGCGACACGGGCACCATCACATGCAGAATGTGTGGCACGCGTTTCTTTGACTTCGACTGGTGGGGCCACTGACCACGAGGATGACGACGAAAACACAGAGGAGGACTCGCACTTCAGACAGTGGGACGGTGGGCGGTGGCCCGATGGCAATGACGCGAAAGACACGGAAGGGGACGACGTCGAACAACGGTTCCGCGACGATGCACACGATGAAGAGGGAAGCTTGGAGGATGGTTTGGCCGAAGGCGATGGTAGTGAAGGCCAAGAGGATGGTGGTCACGAAGGCCATGGGAGTGAAGAAGAAGAAAATGAGGATGCAAGTGATGAGGATGCCGCAAAACGGGAAGACAGCTACGGAGGGGGGAGCGAAGGAGATGAGGGTGGGGCGGACGACGACGACGGCGGAAATGACGGGTCGCAGAAAAGGCGAGAACAGTCTTCCCGTGCCACAAGTCATGACGGTCCGGCAGAAGACGACGATGTGTTGCATGGCACACAGAGGTCTGTGTGCATGCGCAAGAGGAAAATGAGATGTGGGAAAGCAGAGGAAGAGAAGCGGAGACAAGCTAAGCTCATCAGCCTACATGCCTCAACTTGAAAGGAGGCTTACAAGAGATCCTTAGAGGCCCAATCCGCTAAACCAGCAAAGGAAAAGCGTGAACGAACTCGATCTTCCCAAAAACCAAAGAAGAAAGCAAAGGCCGAGGAGACAAAGGAAGTGGCGGACGAAGCGCACGAAGCGGCGGGGGTCGACCCAAGACATACAGCGTCAAAGCCTGGAGAGTTGACCAACGACACTATCGACACCACGAGATGTTTTTTCCTGGAATACGACGAGGACGGCAATGCGATAGATCGCCCTACCCAAGTCTTCGTTGACGTGGTCAAAATACTGCCCAACCCTTCGGAAGGTGTGCAATACAACCACAGGCCATTGAACGAGATGTTGGTCACCTCCATCAGGGACGCAATGGAACACCCGGAAAAGCAGAAGGAGTGAGATAGAAACACGTGGATTCTTGCTCTTGTCGTTGAAGTGCAGAAGGATGGCCGGAAGCAATGGGAACGTATGAAGCCGGAGGAGTGGGATGATGACAAGGTTGCCTCCTACCATTGGTACACAGTGGTCGGCCAACATACAGCGGAGGCAGCACGAGGCTGGTCGCCGCAAAATCGTCTGCTGCCCACAAGTGGGGCGTGCATTCTTGGAAGGCGCGGGTTGTGTATTTTGACGACGACCATTTGGAGGGGTATGCGTACATCTCCACGTTTGACAACACCAGGGAGACACGTGCTATCCCGTTGTTGTTTCGAATGGTCGTGACTGCTATAAGAGGACTGTGGCAGAGTATGAAAGAGCCAAAAGATGATTGGCATCAGGCAAAAACGGTGGAAGAGAGGACTGCACAGCGTGACCAATATCAGGAGTTCGTATGGAAAGTTATACGGATGACTCCTGACACATCACTCCGGAAGCGGTCGTTGGCGAAAAGATTTGTGAGGAATTGGTCAAACCTTTTGAGGCCCTACATGTGTCTTGCGGCGAGCGGCAGAGTTGTGTGGAATCTGGTTGAGAAGTTCTTTGACAAATGGGAAAAAGGCGAACTGCCAGGGCAGGATGGCGTGAGACCAGTGGATCAGGAAGGGAAAGCAGGCGAGGCAGCAGGACCGGGCCCTGCAGCGAAGACGGTGAAAGGCAAAAAAGTGTTGGTGCACTACCTTCAGTCCAACAAAAATTCGTCGGGTTTCTATATTTGCATCAATGATCCCCCCGCGAGCGCATGGAAGGTGTTCGGCGATTTCACATCAAGGGAGAAGGAAATGGCCCTCGAGAAAATACTTGCGAGACACATTGTTGTCACGAGCAGAAGGGCATTTGTGAAAAAACAGATGAACATGCAAGACCTGTACGTGGAGGTGAGAAGAGAGAAATATATGGTTCGCATGTTTAACTATATCCTCTTCAAGATAGAGCAGAGGTCGGAGGATAGTGGAATGACAAGTTCTTCATTGGCTACGATACCATAATGAGGCGGTTTACGCGAGGGTTGACGACGGAGAAATGGGAAGAAACCAAGTCCAAGATCGTAGCAGAGAAGACTATCAATGTGTCAAAACGATTGGGCGGTGTGGATGAGGCGAAACTATGAAAAGGGAATGTCGGGGGACTCAAGGTGACGACTGCAATATATATAGAGTGCTCGTACTTCCTCAAGCTTTTCGTGCATGAGATTCTTGGCGCAGTTGACCAATTGAGGGATGAGCTGAGGCGGGTCAGCTCAAATGCTCAGCACATAATGTGGGACAAGCGCAAAGATCACACGACGTATCTTCCTATCTGCATCACACCTATGGACGCACTGCACCCGGCAGAAGATTGGACTCGTGTCGTAAGAAAGTTGAGTTGTCACCTTGCAGTATTGGACTTGGCTCCGTTGAAGAATCTCGACGCATTGAACGAGCAAAGGTTTCACGAGCTCCGCCAAATAATGACGGTGTTGTGCGGGTCGCATTGGACGCTAATCATATTCAGCGCATTGAAAGTCGAGGAAACGGTGTTGAGGAACGTCTTCAGGTGAGACGGTGTGAGAGTTCTTCCAAAGCGCTGGCGTCGTTATAGCGAAGCAGCATCATCCTGCGCCCAAATTGGGAACCTTCCGTTGAGAGGGCGCGACTCCATGACCATAGTGTTGCACGATAAAGAGAACGACTTCAAAAAGGTCACAGTTGCAAAGCCTCGCGGGAACACTCTCTTCGACACGCATTACGTGGAGGAATTATTTGTACGATGTACGAAAGAGGCAATCAGTGTGCGAGGCGATAGCAAACCTGTGTACGGGATGTGGGAGAGGGAACCTGCAAAGATGGAAGACTTGTGCACCCGGTTTTCGAAGGAAGGTGAAGGTGTCATGTTACTGGGCAACGTGCAGGCAAGAACAACGTGGGACTTGCTTCGCTCAGGTCGTCATGTCGTCGCATGTGATGGTTCCTCAAACCTGATCGAGTACTCCACTTTGTTCATCGATCGTCACGCCAACAATCCGGATAACAGGTGTCACTTTGAACTACCGAAACCTCAACATCGTGCAGACAGAGACATGTTCATGAAGCTCGGCAAGAAGAGGGACTCTCTGTGGAGCTACCTGTTCTGCAATGCACCCGCAATACCAACAGATGCATATTATCTGCACCGTAAGGTGATAGCGATCCAACATCTGAAAGAATATCACAACGCCAAACGAGGTGCAATTGAGATGTTTCTGGGCCAATGTGAACACCTATGGTTTGAAAGGAAGCGAGACAAAATTGATGTCAAGGTTTACTGCGAGGTAATGGATGTTGGGGAGCAGTTTGACATCATGGAAAGTTAGGAGGAGACGGAGGATGAGGAGATTGACTTGCTGTTGTCGGGTGCACATCACAATGCAATGAGAGAGGAAACGCCTTCGCTGTCCACTTTGGGTGGTCAACAAGCGATGAAGGAAGATGTTGGCGGCACTGTCGAGAGTACCAGGACCGAAAATGTGATGCGCGGAACAACGCCGAACACAGGTGGTGCAAGGGAAGGCAGCACATCCAAGTGCGGCATGAAGGAAGCAACCCCAGGATTCGTCTCGCTGGTGAGGAGAGTTCGCAATGACATAGAAGGAGCGGCAGACGGCGAGACTCAAAATGTTGTGCATGCAGACAAGGAATCAGAGGACGGCCCAGATGGGATGGACATAGAAGATGATCCCCTCTTTCACATCCCAGATGACGTCTCCAAA